GTTAGGTCGTCAAGTTGTTGTGCGACTGAACAGTGCGATGTGGACAAGATATTTCAGGTAAGGATGAGTTGCGTATTGAATTAGGCAGTTAACGAAGCTGAGCTGATTGCTACATTCTGCATGTAGCAACGAAGTCCTTTAGGACATGAAATTGCCACAATCTGTCTTTATTGCTCCCAGATCACTAGGCTCAAAAACGCCATCCACGCTTTCAAGACTACCAACACCACCGCCAACCATCAACCACCACGTGAACCAGCTCACAAGTGGCAAGGCAGCGATGGTGTTTGAGTAAGGATGAACCAACTTCCTATTACATACAAGATTAAGCTTACTTACAAGTGGTTTGAAGACATTCATCCGGGAACAGATCAAAGAAGCCCTGGTGTACAGTTCCATACAGGCATATGCAACCAATTTTACCACCAACAACGAGCCCATTCTTGATTCACTTGAGAATCACATTGTAGTAAGTGACTGTTGGTTAAAAAATATTATTTACCAAAGCTGATCACCAAACCATCATAGAATAAATTGATGACAGAGACCACCAAGGTACCAGATTACATCCTGCCTGAAGATTTTCGAAAGAGTGATCCCACGGCGGACACGTCAGTGCGCAAGGTCATTGAAGAGATAGCAAAGACCAAGAGGTGTAAATTTCAGGATCCGGTGAGTTGATATGCTTGAGAAATCCTTTATTCATCAACACCTTAACTGACCTCGTCAGTGTTTGACGTGCAGCTCCTTCTGCACATCAAAGACCCAGCTTTGAATTCCGAGTCGCCGGATTTGTACAACTTAATGTACGAGTTGATTCAGAACCGCCCTAGGACTTACCGCAAAACACCACCTGAGGTGTGGGGCCACACGTCCGTTGCAGACAAATGAAGAATTGCGCTTTTGGTGAGCTGTCTGTAGACATTCAGAGCCATTACATAGCGGGCTCACTATCTTAATCTTTAATGTAGCGGCTCGAGGGCACCATCTTCCTCCTTTATGGAATACATAGAGCGCCATACTGACACATGATTAGCACTACATTTACATACATGTTTTTTGCAATCCAAACTCAGCCGTACACCGAGCTGTGTACTACATGAGTCGGACTGACACAATAGAATTCTCTATTTCACTACACAAACCATGAATGTCAGTATGGTGATCCCCTTAGTGGCAAGCGGTACATCTAGTGACATACTGACTAATAAGGTTCTTATTCCTTATTATAGTGGCAGTATGCCTACCACCTATCTACCCCCACTGACACTTAGGTCACCTGTTTTTGTTTATCTCATCAACCTGTATGTATGGGCAATGCCATCCCCCTAAATGTAGAATATCACATGCCTACACTTTCTACTAGTTATCGTGCATTTCTCTAGGTTCATCACAACATAAACAAACTTTCAAAGCTTGACTGAATCAATCACTATTATCATCGTTTTACCAACCCTACAGATCACTACACAATGTCTTTGATTTGTAAAATCTGTAACAGTCTTTCAATGGACGCAACAATTGAGGGTCCTTGTAGGCCTTGTATTATCAAACTTATCAATGTCAACTGTGATCCCCCCTCATTGTCTATAACCGCTCAGCAATCCACTTCAAGTACTGGCAACCATGCATTTCAACTGCATCAGTCAGCTACAGCCCAGAAACAAGACTCAATGATACTACGTAACAAATTCTCACAAGCAAAATCATTGGAACATCAAGGGCTATCTGAACCTCCGAAAAAGTCAAATCCACCACCACCTATCCTCACCCATTACAACTTCAATGCTCGGATGAATATGTATCTTAAAGGGAAAATAACTACAAAATCCTTACCAGCACAAGCAAAATCTTTCAAATTATTGATTGTATTGACTGAATCTACAGGTGAACTATATGACCGAGTTGCTTCTTGTGAGCTACTAGCGTCTTTTGGGCTAGTAAACCACTAAAGATAAGGTTGGATTAATAAACTAAGTTTATTAGGCGCGGGGAAACCTTATTTTAAGTTTCAAAACAAGGTTAACTAAGAAGTAGTGTGATCAAATCAGCACTGACTTCAGTTAAGTGACCTTTTAACAAAGGGTTTTGGATGCAAATCCGGGAATTAATGCAAGACAATGGGCTTCTAGCAGGATGTAGAGTGGAAACTACAGTCTAGTTTCGTGCCCAAGCTGACAACACTCTACTCTAGAGTTTGTTAATCAAGGGAAATATCACCTAGTGATATTTGAAGTTCTTTAAACTCTGAACACAGAGGAGCTCCCGTGAATTTAGAGTTTCTCAAGTTATTGAATTCCCTTAATAACTTGAGCAATACTACAAGGATCACCTCCTGAATGAAGTCTTCAAAAGAACTTCTACAAACTACAATAGTAATAATCAATAAGAGAAATATATAATGTCTAACAAATGAGGACAAGAACTCTATTTATCTGATTGATGGATTTATTGATAATTTGTTCTAAAGTAATGATGATGATGGATTTTCCTGGCGGGTCAGAGAGCTCTTTATATACTCAAAACCCTGAAAATCCTTTATGTACAACTTGTGGTTTGATTACATACTCATTTGACGTATGTAATCATGAATTTTAATTATTTAGTTTATTATCTGATTACACACATGTGTAAATCTTGTGTTACTCATGTGATGCGCACTTGTGAAAGGCAGTCTTACATAATGCAACCTTTTGGTCACATTTACACGTATCTACATATGTAATTTCATATGTAACTATATGTAATTACATATGTACTTGGCTCTTGAAACTGAGCCATGAGTTGTACTTATTATTTTTGTTATTTTATAGTTATTTAGGCAGCCCTTTGGTACTAGTAATAGGGCTCGGGGCTGACACTTCTAGCATTTATCATAGTTTTTTACCTGAAATTCAAGAAGCAAAGAATGATCTTCCTGATTTCCCTACCCAATACAAGTTTAATGAAAAGTACTTCCGTCTGAACAATTTTCGTCCCGCTATAGAAATACAAAAAGATGACCTCCCTGACTTGCTGCGAGGTGGATCAAAGATGCTGGAACTTTCATTCAACTCAGTGCGCTATGATAGTAGATTTGGTATTTTAGAAAAAACAGATAAAGATAAGCGATCAAATAAAGCATCAAAGAAAAGAAATCACAAGATATCAACCTCTGAAGCTGAGTTAGACGACTCAAGCAAAGTAGAATCAACTATATTAGCACCAAAGAAAACATCAAAGAGAATCAAAAAGAACGCAAAGGTTTTTCAAGATCCCAGCTACCTGATCTAACCTTTATTAATCCATCACTACTATCAGCAACTTCCACTGCTCCTCTCTGTGGAAGTAGTACACACTGCCAGCATTAAAGAGGTTCCCAGATGGGAATATGGGTCGTAGGGATCAGACCTCCATTGTAATATATGAGGCTGTCTGATTCCTACAACCCATATTCCCATCTGGGAACCTCTTTAATGCTGGCAGTGACAGCTTTTTTTCATCTCCTACCAACTCAACTTAACTACGAAACCAATTTTTCAGAAGATGTACTAGGTACAATGGTATCAGATGGATTTTTGAATGAGAAAGCAAACTACACTCCATCTCAGACAGTTGTCAAAGATTTCAGTTGTGAGTTTTTTGTCTGTCGATACTTATGTTTTTGAACTTCCAT